GGTTTATTATTTATAAGCTTTATTTTGAGAAATTAATTCAGTTACCGAATGTAGATATCTACAAGAAACGTTTTTGACCGTTAAAGGATAATATCAAGTTCTATTAGTTTTTCAATAACTACTAGAGGAAAATGGCTTATTTGTTTCTCAGAACTGAAGAGCAGCATTTTCTTGGCACAGTGCACGTTGTATTTGATGACGAAAACTGACAAAAGTTAGGCTGAAAACAGTTCATTTTAAATACACTCTTTGAAAGTGGTGTATTGCTAAAATTAAGTAGTGGAACGGATACTTTCTAACCTACAAGTATACAATTCATTAAACGGAAAGGCAGTTGTTATGGTTTTGTTTTTCATCATTTATTTATGTATTAAACTTAAAATACATACAGGGTTCCTACTCAAATCTTTGTTTTAAATTCTATGACTTTTTCCGACCCTCGCGTCCCTTACGGTACAGCGCATTGACAAAATAAAACAGCATACGACTTACTAAGAAAATATGCTGTTGCTTCTTCAACCTTTTAATTAGTTATTTTTTCTAATTAACAGTTACACAATTTTTATAATTGCTGAATAATTAAAATTAAAAATAAAATGTTTTTTTAAATTAAAATAATTTATCCTGTTATTAATCCACAACCATAAATCTATGTGGCTTTGAAAAAAATAAAAAGCCATTATTTATTATTGTCATTAAGAAATGACAATTGATATTACTTTATTTTATATTTGGGACTTAATATTGGTTTTTAAAATTAATCTGCACTGAATTATAAAATGCAACAAGGAGGAGAGCAATGTAAAATGCCAGTGGATCAAACTATCAGTAAAAAAAAGTACATGTACGTAATAATTATATAAACATTAAACAAAATAAAAAAATATGCAAAACTTAATACAATTTTTGAAAAACTGGAAGAACTACATGTCTTTAAGTACAAAATACCTCAATGAGGGGCATTAACCTAGTGTTTCTCGAACTTCACCTTCCGGTAGACCCGTTTAATAAATTTTAATGCGCCATTTGCCTAATTTGCATAGTTTTCTGTCAATATATTTGCCTAGACCCATGGGGATCTGTGGTCCACAGATGCTGTTGAGAAATCTGCTATCCAAATTATCTCAATCACCCAGACGTGAAAATTTCTACTATTTGGCACTACACACCGTGCAAAAATTTTCAGTGTTATCGGATAATGCTTTCAATGTTGTCATACAAAGAAAGCAGTTAAGTATCTCGGAATGGATAGATTTATGGGAGAAGGCAATGCCTGCCTCCTAGGAAGACTTTCTTCAGGAAACTGACTCTATTTAGGTGTTAGATTTATGAAGAAAACCTGAAAAACTTTATGTGGCCAGCCCATTGGTGAAATGCAAACCTGCGACCAACTACCAGTGTTTTATCCACTAAGACATTGACGAGGCTAAGCACATAAGAAAGCCAGTATTAATTACCATGGCCCAGACCGAACTTATTAATCAACATGTGCTTAAATTAAAGCACTCTTTTAATCTAAAATATTTGTTAAACTTATTAGTTTAGTGTTGCATAGCAAATTGTATGGTAGGCCTACTTACATATATGTATGATTTAATTTGAATTTTCCAAACTATGTAATAATAATAATAATAATAATAATAACTATTAATTGGCTCATAAATTATGGTTTTACTTTGTGTGCAATAATTTTTTGGTGAAATTTTGGGTCCTGAAAATATTCTGATTGCCTTTTCATAAGTTGCACTGTAGCACATTACTTCTTACTGCCTGCAGATGGCTATACTTGGTCTACTTTATTGAGCAAAAAAAAAAAAAAATCAACAAGGCAGCCAAGGAGGCAAATTCCCTGACTTTTTGACAGTTTTTATGAAATTTCCCGACTTTTCAAGACTTTTTCCAAGCACTAATAACTTTCCAGGTGCGTAGGAACCTTGTACATAAATCAAAATTAAAATTGTTATTATGCCAATAATAAGAAGTTGCCAATTTACTAAACAAATTCCAAAACAGCATTAACAATGCATTCTTGTGCTATAACTTTATTGTCTTTTGGTCAATAGCAGAACAGTCAGATCCTGTATAAAATTGTCAGTAACTGTATAAAATTGTCTAGATCCAACACTTCTAGATTATGTAATTCAATAATGGGATTTAATTTAATGAGAAAAACTGTTCATTTTGTACCATGAACTCTTTTTTTGCTTCTGTAACTGTGAATGGCAAGTTCTTGCAATGGCGCCTGATAATGGCATTATAAGTTACAACAAGCGATTATTTATTGTGACATTGTCACAATGCCAAGCTGCAATTTTTAATGTATTTCATTTAAAATATATGTTCTCCGTCTCAAATTAGTAGTGTCTTCTCCCCATACATCGTACTTTTCCTTTAACAATAGAGTCGTGCTGATAATCTATTAACCGCTTATGGGGGAAAAGTTTTGAAATGAAATAATGTGACTTCTGGTTTGCATCGAAAGTTCGTATATAGTTAATCGGGCCTCCTGCCCCTAAGGTTTCCATATCTGGTCTCGGATTTCGTCTATCTAATTTTGTTCTTGAGATTAAGGAGATGGACGACAGTGGGAATTTATAGATCTACGATTTTTTCAAATTGCAGCCCAATCCTAGTTTAATGCTACTTTGCACATCTGTTGAACACTTTTTGGTATACATCACAGATGATGCAGTTGAATTAATCAATGCACCTTTAACAAGGGGTTCATCCACTGTTAAAAGTGCATTGATTAATTTAATTGAGTAACCATAGTTGCTAGTTCATCCTTGTTGATGATGCAATTTTTACATGCTACTGTAGCTTATTGAAATTGTTCAAGAACCTTTTTCAGTTATTAGTGACATCATTGGCCCATTGCACAGAACACAATATAATGATAGCATGTAAAAATTGCATATATGCAATTTATTACTAGCAACTATGGTTATTCAGTTAAATTAATCAATGCAACATTAACAGTGGGTTACTTATCTCTTTTGTGTTCTGTAATATTGCAGAATATTACAGAACACGAAAGAGATAAGTAATAAAGGTAAGCCATGACTTTAGCCATCTTAGCCGCAGAAAAGAATTTTAAAAACCAAGATGGGACGAGCTGAAATTATCGTCCACTCCTCTGTGGATTAGATGAAATTGATTTTGTTATAGAGAATTCAAATTCAAATGTCATTTACATTAATAATCTATTCTATATGAGCTGTTGATTTTGAAAGTGGGGCAAGTCCATTTTATGTTATTGCTAGATATTTAATGGTTTGCATTTAAATGAGTTTTAAAATATTTGTAAGCAGTAATAGACTTATTTTATATTTTTTGTGGTCTTATTTCACGTAAGTTTAATATGCAATAATAATTATCCGTGTTAGGTGGAAATAAACACGGTTTTGGTATGCGCGAATGGACTTGCCTCACTTTCAAAAGCAACTCTCAATAAATATCATTGATGATATAAATTACTAGTAACAAATTTATACTGATATTAAAAAGATATTTATTATGAATTGATTAAAAACATAAATTTTATGTTTGTTTGTAATAAGAATCAGCTTTAACTATTTTTTTTTTTTTTCACAAAATGGACTTGCCCCACTTTCAAAATCAATGGCTCATATATCTAAAATGCTTAGCTTAAAAATTGTCACAAAAAAATAAAAATGTCGGCAACAGGAATGAATGAATTGTCACAAAATTTTAGCAGGCAAAGCCCCCTTAGTATAAATTAATATAACAATATAAATAGCTTACCTATCAAACTCACGTGGAGTTTGATAGGTAAGAAACTGCTAGAAAAAGAGTAAAAGGTTTTGTGAAACTTATTTAAAGAAGTTCTAGCTATCCGTCGTGGAATTTTTACCAATATTACATTTTAAATCAAGCTTTCACAATCGATAAATGACTTACCCGCATCTATTTATTAAAATTACTCCGTACAGCATCAATAAACAAGATGCATTTCTAAACGATATTCCTCTTCATTCACATCTTTTGATGCTTTACAGACTCGTGTTTTATTTATAAACAGAGAACGACCAGAATAACAACCAAAAATGTTTCCGATTAAATATATTTTTTGCTTTCAAATAAATCTTTCTGTTTCTTTATTGATTTCGACATACTGTAAATTTGTTTATACTTACAATCTACAAAAAACAGCTGTGACATTGTCTCCACACAAAGCCAAGTAATATAATTTTAACGAAATAAAATTATTAAATTATATATCCAAATTAACATTACCTTAATTATCGTACGAAATGCTTTAATGCTTCATCACAAAAAAACTGGTTAAAAAGGTATATTTAAAAACTGATTTAATACACAATATAAGATTCACCAGCCATTGAGAAATGGCTGCATCATCATTTTTAATAATAGTTATTTATACATTTAGTAGAAGTTACCTTTAGATACCGCACCTTTATCGGCTCCGAGCGAGTCGGTTGGGACCTTATTGGAGCCGCAGAGGTGCCCAAAGGTGTAAAAAAAGTCAAAAGGGGGTCAAAATTTAGGGGGTTGAATTCTCCCCAAATTTTATTTTAGACCCCTTTTTATTTATTTATTATACATATATATATATATATAAGCTAATGTTATTATTAATTAACGGTTCAAAATCAAACACTTAGTATAAAAATTCGATTTCTTATTACAAACACGAGTATTGTTATAGTGTTCTTATTTAAACAATGAGAGAGCGTGTTCCAATCATCGAATCAACAGAGAAATTACATAAATAATAATAATACTAATAATAAACACTTACCTGCATGAACGGCAACGAATCCATCGCATTTATCAGAACTCATGTTTAAGAAAATATTCGAATCAGAAACGTAATAAACACAATACAATTGTTATATAAAACATAATATAAATATTGATTATTGGAAAGAACACGTGTACTGCGCCGCCATTAAACTAGGTCACGTGGAGTTTGCAGATTAGAAACCAGGTGGCGTTGCAGTAATGGCGGATATTTGTTCGTGATCAGATTGCCGACGAATATGATAAAAATAATCGATCGTTCCGTCGGGATTTATAGATCTCGCGATCCAATTAAGAATTTTAAGATTAAAATTCATTTAAAAAAGGTCGTGCCCTTAACAATTTTAGCGGAAGAGACGAGAGAAGACGATCGAGGAGTCGAGTTATCACACTTGGATAGGAATAATCAGTACGAAGAACAATACACGTTTGAATGGCAGGAAAAAGTGTTCAGCCGTCAAGAAATCGAATGGTATAGCAATATAGAAAACTGTGTGAATTTTGTAGAAAAGAAGTACCACGAAGATGTACTTCGCCTTAAGGAGGAGACGGTGCCGAAAAGACGCCTCTACACTTATGTCAATGCCGATGTGGTGTCGGGGAAGTTCGATACGGAAGATGCGGCCGACGGCGACGATGCTCTCTCTCCTCTTCTGGAAAGATCCTTTGCGGATTTAAAACTGGGCCGCGGCGACGGGTTCGGATCCAATTCGGATGCCGCCGGAAGGCCCCCGAACGGGACGACGATTAGGCGGAGACAGAGAATGTACTTAATGGCCGATCTTAATCCTTTGGACGAAGAAGACTTAAGAAAAGAAAATGAAGTTTTGTTGTGTGCCATTAATATAGATTCGAATAATGTTATTACCGTTTCTCCGGATTTCTGTAAACGTGGAGAATTTTACGAAACTCATAACGATAAGCGAGAGGTCTTTCGTTATTCCGTGGAACACGCTTCGCCGTTAATTTCGGCGGAAGAGCGTCAGAGAGAAAAGGATCTAATGGCGAAGGTTTACGACAGACACACGGAGTTGGTTTCCGCCTGTCTGGACGGGGATTTCAAATTACCTCCACCGCAGACGTTCGGAGTGTTTTTGTTCGGCGAAATCGTGTCGGCCAGAGACTTCGAATTGGATAACCTTTACGTTCATTACTTTTTTGAACTTCCGGAAAATTGGCAGATGAGGGACGAAAGACAGATAGCCGGCGTCACTCACACTTGCGCTACCACCACCGAAAGGAGAGATGACGTGGCGTACTTTTCTTTTCCGTTTGAAGCAGAGTTTATTTATAAAGTAACAAATGTTACGGGAAGAGAAATGATGCCAAAATGGCCCCAGCTGTTTTTAGAGGTCGTGAGCTTCGACAGGTGGAAACGTTATTGCGTCGAAGGTTACACGCACATGGTTTTACCTTCGGAGCCGGGATCGTACTCGATGAACCTGGCGACGTGGAGGCCGATCACTCATGACAATATCGGTAATTTAAGAAGGTTTTTTATAGGAGGAAGCACCGAACTAGAAGATATAACGTACACGGGTGTTTTGACAAAATCTGAAGAAAACCAAATGAGCCATCTTGGCTTCGAAACACAGTCTTCTGGGAGTGTTAACATTAGGTTGAATATTGTACATCAGTCGGAAATATTTGCAATGGAACATAGAGAATTAAGAAAGAAAGGCGGTCTTTTAAACCACTTAGATGCAACATCTATTAAAAGTAGCATTTCTGTCGTTCTTTCGGCATTTCAGAGAGCAAGATCGAGAATGTTGGCTGCCAGGTCCGGATTAGAGAAGTTTAATTGATTTTTATACAAATTTTAGATATCCTGATTATTTAGATCTCAATTTCATAGAAAATATTAATATTTTTATGAAAGTTTACATAATTTCAAATTTAAGCAAATTATTTTGAAATTCTGTTACAATATATACTGTATATTATTTATAAATTATACAAATAATTAATTTTTGAAAGAAACATTGTAGTCACTTGAACTTCAATAAATCTACACTACTTCAGTTCTTGTTTGTTATTTACCGATCTTAAATTATTTGGAGACCTGATTATTTGGAGATGTTGGGGCCTCTCCCATTGCGGGCCTGGCCAAACCTGCAACAGGCATTCGGTGCCCACAGGAGAAAAGTTAAAAATAATCTACGACTGGCGGAGATTTGTTCAAACCCACCCTAAGAACACGATAGTATTAGAGAGACCAAACATATCCAGGTCAATCTACCCGCAGAACCTCCGAGTACAGTAGAGCGTCGATTTTCCGAATCAATGGGGGACTGGGGTTGTCCGGATAACTGATATTTCGGATAATTGATTTACATCGAAAAAATAGTTTAACGTATCCGATGTCTAAATTTTTCTCCGTTGCGTGTCGCTTCGCGTTGAATTTTCGTCGATGTTAAGCCTAACAAAGACTATTGTATCGTTAAAATTTATTTTGTACAAACAAAATAAATATATTGAAAAATATAAAAATAATAATAAATTATACTTCAGATGTTAATTTAGTATCAAAAACGTAAAATATTTGATTAGCCCAAGACATAGCCAAAGATTGCAGTGCCACAGCACTGGCGAAAATTTAAATTTGCCGACTGGAATTCTTTCGGATGATTGACTTTCGGAAAATCGACGCTCTACTGTATTTACAGAAACGAGTCCAGAGCAGCAGTTGGTGCCTGTACTGCCTCGACTGTCTTAATTTAAATTTCACAGCATCTTAAATAACCAATTGGTAGAGATGTATGAGGCTTACGAATATAATGTTAATGAAAATTATAGAATTAATGACAATTTGGGAAGAAAAGTGAGTGAATTCTGACTACCAATTTTCATCAAGGAGAATCACTGTTAATTTAACCAACACTACAGACCCACTTAACAGCATCACATTAGGAGTTGTCTGTAGAAACTAACCAGATAAAGGTTACATGGGTATACTTCCATCTAGTTAGTTTCTACAGACAATTCCTAATGTGATGCTGTTAAGTGGGTCTGTAGTGTTGGTTAAGTTAACAGTGATTCTCCTTGATGAGAATTGGTAGTCAGAATTCACTCACTTTTCTTCCCAAATTGTCATTAATTCTATAATTTTCATTAACATTATATTTGTAAGCCTCATACATCTCTACCAATTGGTTATTTGAGATCACTATCTAGTTTAATTTATAGAGGCAAGAAGCTTACAATTATATTCAAGAAAAATATACTTTAATCTGTATGATCATTTGCATTTAACGCGATATAGTCGACGACAAAGTAATCAATATAGGCAACATTATCGTTCTGTTTATGTAATTATTAAATTATTGGTATTGCAAAATTAAATGACGTAAATGTCTATTTGAACCTTGTAAACGGCAGATTTACCTTAACAATAGAGAACAATAGGCACTTCAGTTTATCTCACTTGACAATAAACTGGTTTTTTTTTAATAGATCAAATTGAATGTTCATTCCAAAATATTCTTTGGAATATTTAAATATATAATTAAGGAAATTTCTCAAATATGAAATACGAGGTATAACAAAAGTATTATTAAATGTGTAGAAAAATTAAATAGCTTCATTTCCTACTAATTTTATTGCAAATATAATTATGGCAAATTCTGTAATGCTTATTATGACTTATCAAAGTCAGTATTAGTTAATTACTAGTGTTGAATGAAGTTTATTACAACTATTACAAAAATCATTCTAGATATCTCCTCAGTCTATTATCCACAGTTAATTTTATGTATGGTAAAACGGTATTAAAGTTCAAGTTAATCAATTACCATTCACTTTACTTTTAGTATACGAATGCTTATTGGTTAACTTAAACTTTCGATCCTGGGTTGTGAATATTGCCGTTAACCATCTGTCTGACCAATAACCCAATTTCCATAGTCATATATTCAATATAATAAAACAGGGCTGTGCCATGCTACGATAGAGAGACGGCAGCATTTTGAAGACTTGCATCATACTGAGAAAATCTACCACACGGCCGTGATAAAATTACTATATATTATTTAAAATAGTAAAATTTTAAACATTTTCCTGTATGCAATTTGATATGTCCTTGAATGTCTTTACAAGGATATTCACATATTCTTTTTAAAAATATTTTCATTATATTCATACAAAATATTGAGAATATGCTATTAAAGCTGCAATTGTTTTCACATTTAAGTCTAATATATTGTAGAATCATATCAGGATTATTCTTTAAAATGAATATGCAAAATATCTTAAAATTTACATAAAACTGTCAAATATTTCTTTAATGTTACAGAAATTATAATAAGATCATACATATATTGTCTTTATTATATTATACGAGTTTGCCAATAAGTCCATGCAGTTTTTGTTGATAGATGGCTGTAGACATTAGAAAAAGCAACAAACTTTGGTTCACATTTTAAAAATGAACGAAAATTGGTTGTGTTCGACATCAAATGAAGCACACGGCATATGATGAAAATGCTCATTTTGCATATTATAAAAAAGGCAAAAAACACTGCAAACCATAAAAAGGATGTGAGCAGTATATGGTGAGGATGATGTGAAAGAATGTGCATGCAAACATTCAAGGTTTGTGAGATTTCATTCTGACGACTTCTCTAAGATGTACCATGCAACAAGAGATCAATACCATACTACACGACACAGGAAATTTTTGATATTTAGCAAATACCTACAATCAAGAATGGAAAACCATATGCATCAACTTGGCTACTTCAGCAATCTTGTTGTTTGGGTTCCACACAAATTGAAGTAAACTTTCTAGAACACATTTCCATCAGCAATTCACTAAGAAAACATGAAAGATATTGTCCACTTCAGAAATGGATCTAACAGGTGGTAAAAAATGGGTCACGTACAACAATGTTTGAACACAAACAATCTTGGATGCCATGTGGTGAACCACCATAAACCATTTCCAAAACAGGACTTCACGCAAACAAAATTATGCTTTTAATTTGGTGGGAATGGAAGGATGTGTTGCTTCCAAAGAACAGATCGATCAATTTGGATGCGTACGTGACCAACTAAACAAACCAAATGACGCTATCCATGAAACGGCCAGAATTTGTAAACCATAAGAGCACCTGTCACGACAGTGCCAGACCTCGCTCGACTTTGTGAACAAAAAATTATTGGATCCGGGCCGTGGTCTTGCCGCATCCTCGTTCACCAGATATTGCCCCCTCTACCACCTGTTTTGCTCTCAATGCTTATTCAATTTTTTATTTTAGAATCAAATCAGATGAACAAAATAATAAATCTATTAAATTTTTTATTTATTGTAAATTAAAGAAATACAGATTTTTATTACAATTTTATCATCTCAGACAACAAAATTTTTGACTACTACTTACTACATTTTTGTATGCATTATACATATTTGCTTGAAAATTTATTGCAATGATTTGTACACATTTAAATTTGGAAGGATTTATATCATTTCCAAATATTATATCAAATAAATATATTATACATGAGACATTATACAACATTTATTACACTGAAATACTGTATATAAATAAATTTAGACAACAAAAAAGGCAATAAGTTAAAATATATCGTACATTCATTCACACGCACGTACACAATATACATAATATAGGTATATAAATAAAATTAAACTCTGCGTATGATATAATAAAAATGAAAGTATCGATTGCCGAATGTACAAAAATGCGATGACTGTGCGAGAGGCACAACACTGGTTGGAGATTGTGAAATCTGGCACTACATCAGGTACACAAGTATCACTTGTTCATTTCCTTTGTTTATATATCACTAGATTATGATAAATTAAATGAATGTAGATCACAGGAACTAAATGAAAAATTAATTTGTGGAACTATGAAAATTGGTCAATTCTGTTTCCAAAAGAGAAACAAAATGAAAATTGTGAAATCTTAAGAAGGAAGCCCTATGGTTTGATGTCAATCTACGTGATCTTGAAAAATGAGCTTGACGTAACCGGAATCGCCCATCAACGGAGTAATGCAAAATGGACAGGCGGCGTGAAATCCGTTGGCTCCGTGGGGAATTGGCACCGATGCCCAGTATCTGAAAAATGTTACTTATATAAATTTTTATACGAATAAATTAAAGGTTAAAATTGAAAAATAATTTGCATTAAGGGGGTGAAAAAAGCAAAACGTACTTAACGGTATTTTCGGATGCCATGTGTCCACATGGATTAAAGGCAAAAGTTGGACGCTCATTATCTACATAAAATGCTGGTTCGCTTCCCATACACAATCTTACCACAGGACCAACCTACAATTAAATTTGTACGTTAATATAATGCATCTTTTTATGTAATTACGGAGTATTTATTTATTATAAAACTATGATATACAGTGTGTGATCGGTTAATGAACGTAATTCGTTCCAAGACTTTGTTCGTTAACTGATTATCAATTTATCATACGTTTTTATGGGAATTTGATTAATTCGTTCCGGAGATGCCAAAAAATAAAAAATATACACTTTTTTATTTTTTGGCATCTCCGGAACGAATTAATCAAATTCCCATAAAAACGTATAAAAAATATACACTTTTTTATTTTTTGAGTATTTTTATTTTTTGGATATTTTATTTTTATATTTTTCACTTATTCAAGATTTTTAAGAAGTAATTAATAGCATTGTAATTGTAGATATCCCTAAGCCTATTAACCTCAACCTAGTTTGGATGCCATTCTAAGACAGTCATTCTGACATCCCACTTCTTCAAAAAAATGTTTAATAGCAGATATTGACATTAATTCTTCTTCAGAAAATAACATATCTTGCCAAGTTTCTTGGTGTTCTTCATTCAAGAGTTCTTTTTATTCTTCTGTCTTCAGATCAGTTTCCATTATGAGCTCTTGTTCTTTATTTCTCAGATGTGATTTTTGTTACTCCTTAAGCTGCTTGAGTCTTCTTGATACTTTACAGTATCTTTCTTAGATAAGATTGAACTGCGGCCTACTGTAGACCTGTTTGAGCCATATTGCCCAGCAGCAACAGACATCTGCCAACTCTCTATCTGTGATATTATACTCTCACCTTTTGAAAATAAATACCCATGAAAAACCTGAGTGCCCGCCCGACAGTCTCGTGATTACTATAAAAAAGTTGTTTCTGTAAGAAAAATAAAAGGCTGGAATTACAAGGGAGAGTTTCAAAGTTTGGAGGAATACTATCCGATCAGTATATACTGGGCTGAGCGTCAATGTTTCCCACACTCCAAAAAGTTTCAAATTGTTGTCTGGAGACAAGGGAAGACCAATCGGTATTCATTATTTTACATTGCTTCTTCTGCGAGGTGTTCGTTATCCGATCATGTGTTTGTTGTCCAAACGAAAATCTTTTGCGAAAGTGTTTGTTATCCGATTTGTTTGTTAACCAATCACCCACTGTATATAGTTAAAGTTCATTTATTTCATTATATATTTTATTATGCAATTATAATAAATTTGATTTGGTAATGTTTCTGAAAAAATGCACCAGTTGATGGATCACTAATGTGTCATTAATATAATAACCAAAAGTCTGTGTTTGTGGGTTTTTTTATTGTCTTTCTCCACATGGTGATACTTCATTGTTTAATTTTTTTAATATAATATTACTTTGTATTATTATTATTTATGATTGTTTTTATTGTCATGCTGCTATTAATATTAATAGTGATTCTTATATTATTTATTAATGTTATTAATTTTTTGCTACAATATCCAAAGTTTGATTGTTAACCAGATGGATATACATCATTCCATTCAATATTGCAATTTTTTATTTAGAAGCATAATATATCTATGTCTAAGAAAAATGCCTAAGAGAAAGCAAAGCAACCTCATCTTATAAATTTTTTATCTAGTCACATTCACCAAATGTGATTCATACAGAAATATACATGNTACCTCACACTTCAAACACTAAATTTGAAAAAATCCTTGTTGGAATTTGAACAATGCTTCAAAGTTCAACTTACATGCATAGTGAGTGGGGAGTGTGCTTGAAGTACAAAGCACTCAGTTGTATGCCGAAGTTGTCTGTCACATTATGCTTGTGCATGTTTTCAGTGCTTTATTTTTGGCATATTTGGTTTTATATAGTGTTATTCATCAATTTTTAACAATTTCTTCCTGCAATTTTTCTTTGTCTACAGCTTTTGGGCACTGCCCCCAATATGTTTTGTATCCCTTACTTGAAATTTCCTGAACAAAACTCTTTAAACCACATTTGACATGTTCGAAATTAAGGAGCATCTTTCCCATACAAAATTACAAAACTTTATGTTTGTACAGCACTTCCTTTCTGAAACTCAAAGCATAATAATATGCATACTGTTTATCTGAAAACATTTCAACTTGATTGAAATAAAATGTGAAGTAATAAGTTAAAATAAGCTTCTAAACAAACAATACACTCTCATATTAGCAATAATGTACTAAATTTTACAACTTTTATAAATTGTAGGTTTATGTTAAGTAACAACAACTGTTAAAAATACACATTCAATAGAATATAACCATTACTTATTCATCCAAGAAGTGTGTGGAAGCAATGAAGCCTAAGAGGAAGATTGTAATATTAATCATTGAGATGAAAAAGGAACTAATTGCAAAGCATGAAAGCAGACACACATACAGAAAATCTAGTGACCATGTTTATTTTCATGGATGATAAAGTCGACAGTGTGTGACCAGTAAATACAAATTTTCATTTTAGAGTGTTTATGCTTTTTATTTATTTTTTTTTAATCATTTCCATGTTTTAATTTATTATTAGGGCATTTAATTGTGCTATATTCCCCTTAAATTATGTATTTGCTGTTTTAAGTTTATCAAAATGGGTTTTTTTAGGATCTGGGAATGGATAATTAAACTTTCCATTATTTCTAATGGAAAAAAATTAATTCAGACTTCAGATGAATTAAATTTGAAGTATGATATACCATTGTATATAAAATATGGAGGAAAAACACTTACCCTTAGACAGACTGGACATGTACGTCCATTAGTATTGTGACCCCAATCATGTAATCCTTGTACATGACCACAATTTAAATATATATAAGGCTGTTTTTCTCCCATAGAAATTGTTGATTTGGAAGGAATTACCAGAGTATTTAAACCAACGGGACACTGTGGTCTACCAGCATTTAATTCATCAATCATTTCTTCCAATCTATGTCTTGTCTAGATAAGAAAAGTTAGTTTTTATTCTCTTTCATTTTAAATGCTTTCATAGTGAAAAATACAAATACATACAGGTGATTTTTTAAGACCTTCAGCTGATCTCCAGAGTAGAGTTACTCCACATAAATCAATTAATGTACCATCCTGTAGTGTATTAGTTTCACCTTCAATCTGCAATAAATTGTTTTAGTGAAAAGTTTAAAATCTATTAAATCTTAATATCAAATACATTATAAATAAATAAATTTCTTGTAGAAGCTAATAAGCTTAATTTAATAAATACTAAAAAACTATAGTTTATTGTTTATAAACCTTGTAATATACATTTTTCTTATGTATAATATTCACCACGAATATTTGATAAATGTAATATTTTTAAAAGAAATAAGCGGGCAGTTTGCTATTAAAAATTATATCTATCAATGTTTTACCATAAAATCTAATTAGGAATTTTATTATATAAATTATAACTAGGACAATGTGCAACTTTGTTATATCATGATAGAGACAGAATTGAGACAGTGCTAGAAAGAAAGAAAAGTGATCTTGTTTGGCATGGACTGGCGATCCATGAACTTGCCTGTGCAGACAGAATCCTTGCCATTGCTGCTACACAGGAGGCAATAAAAGACCAAAGCAATTGGTATCAATTGCTTTGGTCTTTTATTTAACTATAAAATTTGTTTATGACTAACGTTGTGATTTTAAAGACTTCTCTAATAATTTGCTCCAAAGTTACCTTGTCATTATCCAGAATTTGGTTATAAAATAACTTATTTTAAAAATACACAAACTTGACAGTTATATTTTAACATTTTTCTAAACATTATTTTGTAAGTTATATGAGATATACTGTAGAGGTTAAGTCTACATGTTCAATTATTAACTCTAAAAAATAAATAAATAAATAAATAAATAGTAAACTAACATCAGGTAGGGAAAAGATATGTAGTTACATACTATTAATATAATTCTTTTCCATAAAAACAGCAGCCATTACATTAAGGTCAATGATTAGCCATTAAGTTAAAATGCATAAAAAATACATATAAAAACTGTCAGATTATCTTAATTTCATAAAATTCTTATTTTACTTAGCACTACAGTTTTTAATTATAAGAAATCAGTATACCTATAGGGTTCACTAGACTATGGAGATCACAACAACTGCTTAAAGTCAGTTATGAATCCATAGTGTTTAACTATAATGTTTAGGGATATAAAAAAGGATAACACTTACTTTCATTCCTTTCTGACCAGATCGAGACATTCTAAGAGCATATATTTCTCCTCCAACAGAAACCTCTCTCCAAACTCCTGGCTGAAATGAAGTGTCATTAAATGGCTCTTTTGGATGCATAATAAGCACACCATTAGTTGTCAGCCCATCTACCTCACTGTTATGTTGCCATTTTATGGCTTTTTCCTAAAACAGAGTGCATGATAATTTCTAATTTGACTTTACTAAATCTAATTTTAAACTTTTTACTTTAACTAATAATTTATATATTAAAAAAAAAAATGATTGAAAGATATGAAAATTTAACTGTTGATAGTGAGAATGAATTAACATTTAAGAAACTTGTCCAACGTTTCAATTAATTGAACTACTCTATGATAATAATCTAATTTAAACAAGCAATTATTTATTGCAACATCATCACAATGCCGGGTAGCAATTTTTAAATCATTTTTATTTTATTTTATTTAAAATATATGCTGTCCATCTCAAAATTAGAACTGTAGGGGCTTGCCCCCGTAGAGCATACTTTTCCATTAGCAATAGAGTCGTGCCAGTCATCTATCTAACTCCTTCTGAGGGAAAAGTTTTGAATTAAAATAACAACATGACTTCCAGTTTGCAACATAAATTCATACATAGTTAATCGGGACCTCGTACATCTAAGCTTTCCATATCCGGTCTTGACTTTCATGTATCTAACTCAGTTCTCAAGATTAAGGAAAGACAGACAGATGACAGTGGGAATTTATAGGTCTACAATTTTTTCAAATTGCAGCCAAAAAAATATTTTTTATGATGGTAAACAGCACAGAACTACTTCACAAATTTGCAAAGTAATTTATATGCATTTATATTCCAACAAATTAAGTTAAATAAAATTAACTTACCCCAAGAAAAATATTACGTGAAGAATCAAATCCAGCAGCATATATTTTAGAAGTGTGGTTACCATTCCTTTCTACTATAATTCGGCAAGCAAATCTAGATATAGTACTTTGGACAGATTTCTGATCTAATTTTTGTGCAGGAAGTGTATCCATTACAACAAAATCAATAGGACTTTCAGATGATCGACCAATCTATAAAATATAGTAATTTAAATTATTAAAAAGTTGTTTTTTTTTTATTGCTGTGATAAAAAGACATGCAAGTATTATAATTATAATTTTATGAAGTTGATTAAATTATTATTTAATAATTTTACAAGTATTCAAATCATTACAACTAAAAAACTATAGAAATTATAATAAAATTTTTGAGAAAATGTGTTTCTAGAAACTATTCTAAGTTATTATAATAATTCTTTACAAATATTTAATATGATGTTTACAAGTTAATAAAGAAATATGTAAAAATATAATAATGGCAAATAATCTTGCTTTCAATCATAACCTTAAGTTTTTAATGCTACAAAATGAAAAATTACCTGAAACATATCTGTTTCGTTATCAGTTTTATATTCCACTATTACTGCTTGATTCCGAGATAGTGAATAAGATATGGAATGTCTTTCGGCATCAAGCATAGCCTTCAATAAAAAATAGTTTTATTAATTTAATTATAAAATACAAAAAATTTATGTGAACATTTTCAAATATCTGCTTTTTCAAAATTTTTCAAAATGCTTTGTACTATCCTATCTTTCCACTCACTCAAATGGCCAAGATAGGAGTGTCCTAAGGTGACATTCATTCCAGTTTACATGGCTAACTGCACAGGAAAAAAAAAATCTCACTCTTATATTCTTTAAAGTGCTTTAAAATGAAACTAATCTTTGTTGTGTAGTTTTGAAACAGTTTGCCATCTGTCAAAGGGATTTTGTCATTCAAATAAAATTAATTTAATTTGTCAACTGTAAATGAAGATTTATCTTCAGAATTTAGTAAGAAAGACAATTACATATTTGTTCAATACTTTATAAAATACAATCAGATTTTGTATATAAAATATAACTATGTAAATCAGAATGATTGGTCCATGTCACTAATATGACACTTGCAACACTCAAAGAAAAATATCGACGAGCCTGATGTAAAGATTGGTTTAATTATTAACACTTTCTGGCACTTTGACACTTCTGTGTATTCTGTGATTTCTATTTAATTTAAAATTTTTTCTGAATTCTGTTAAAATACTGTATTAAAATCTTTACACTCATTTCATAAACACATTGATTTTGTCTATGGGTATTAAACAGTACACAGACAAAATCAACGTGTTTGAATGAACCCAATTGCAAACAGCAGATATTCATTATACATTTAACTTTTATTTTAATATTCTATTACTTACTGTTAATACAATACCCTGTTTGAAAGTTTGAATATTATAGTAGAAGCTTGTGAAAACTTAAGATATTAGATAGTTTTTCCTAATTTTTTGCAGTAAATATCTGTGCAGCTGATACATTGAAGCTTGTATTTCCAAGAATAAAATTGGCAACTTTGTATAGAAACTTTCTAAAAACGATGTTTAATTTTGCTTTAATTTTAAAATTTTGATATTAAAGTTTATACTATTTGGTATCCATGATGTTATAAAACTGGAAGACTAAATTATAAGAAAACATTTTCAATATGTACACTAGCATCTATGACCATTTTCTGTTGACATTAGTACTGTACTTCCATATAACTACTACAGATTTCTCTTACAATATACACATCATGGCTACTAAAATTGGATACTGATCAGATATTGAATTGTGTATGAATTATGATTACATACATAAAAATAAAAAGTTATATGTAAATTTGTTGTGGTTTTAAATTCCAAATTAAAATTTAAATGAAGTTTAATTTCATCTGAAATTCAGACTATTCAAGTGACTTCTAACTTAATTCAATAATAGCTAAATAATGTTTTTAATCAGAGTTATAAACACACTGAATAAATCATTTTGCTATAAAAAAAAATAATAATAATAATAATAATGCCGATCTATTTATTGTATGTATCAATTTTTATCACTGCAATTTCGTAGTCATTTTCATTGGTAGCACAATAAAATTCCAAATTTGCTGACTTCAGACCAAATAATTTAAATGCTCATTCAGCATCCAGCAGGAAAACAGGCAATTATAAAAAATATTCAACAGTTAATAACAGTTTAAGAAATTTTCATGGCTGGTGTTTGACATCACTAAACAATTGATGCATTGAATTACAGCATCAGTTTAAACACTATACAACGTATCAGACAGTTATAAAAAATTCCAGAAAACTCTAGTAGAGTTTAATTAAAAATTAAGACTTGAATATAAGTCGAGAGCAATATTTTCTCCCTCAGTTTTAAAACCAAGGAAGGGGGGAAAAAAGGCTAATATTTGGTCCAATATGATATTTGTAACTTTATTGAACAATGCACAGATCCCATTTCATTAAATTTCATAAAAAAGGAACTATACTGAATTGAAATTACTCACTGGTGATGTCTTTGGGGTTTTTACTATATAATGTTTAGACTTCTTGATTCCATTTGGCACAGGTTTTTTGTATAAAATAAATTTACTACGTCTTCTTCCTTTATCACCTTGTGGAAGGCACCCATTATATCTAAAATTTAAAAATAAAAAGTTGTGAGTTATTATAAGATCTTGAACATCCTATTTTAAATTATTTCATCTAATTATGTCAAAGAGAATTTGCACCAGAAAATAGAAATTTTGACAGATTCATATACGGCAATTTAAAATAAATAATTCAAACTTTTTCAGCTTTAAAAGTGTATATATATAAATACAAAAATGAGTCAAAACTTTTAATTAATATAGAACAGTTTTGAAAGTTGACTATGGCAATTCTAGTTTATATATATAAAAAATATGATTAGAATGACTAATACAGTGACTAATATTCCTTGTCAACTGCTAGGCTTATGCTCAAAAGAAAAAAGTCAGTGAACTACAGTCCTTGAAGCAAAGTCCATAGACAATGAGGGAGGACAAGACGCTTCCATTTTACATCAAAAAACAACAGCATAAACTTTTGTAAGCCAAGAAAGCTTTTCAAACGTGTTGAGAAGCATTACATCTCTTCAGAAAAGTTAAGTTTATTGAAGTCTAGAAGTTTTTTTGAATTTCTTTATAGGACACAAACTTCCAACTCTTGTTTAAAGTTCAAAAATACATTTTGTGACAGATCAATACTTATAAAATGATCAGCAAGATCTTTTTATTTATTAACAAATTTGTTAAAAATTATTATTTGTAAAAGAAAACAACTTTTTTCAATCGCTATTTCTTTCTTTCTTATTCGTTAAACATACAGGGTGGTATAATTTGAAAGCCATGTCATAATAAAAAATTAGTTTGTTGAAGTTTGTATTATACACAATGGTGGGGTAAGGAGGGAGTTTAATTGGGTAGTTTTGCGATAGTAAAATCCACTTTCACTTTTTTTACAAGTGTATACTTTGGTATACAAAGTTTGAATATGTGATAGCTGTTAAAAATGAAAAAAAATTCATATTTTTATGGTTTCAAGAAGCCATCTAAATATGATTGTATAATGTACTGATACTGAACATTTGAAAAATATAGGATTAATCATGAAGCCACACTTCAGTCAGTTATAAGAATGATGCCGAGAGAGAAGTCTGTTCCTACTGCATTGGTGCATAGCCTAAGAAAAAGTATGACTAATGAAGTTGGAGTTAACAATGCTGCCAAGTGTCATTGCATTGCTCGATGCTACCTTGCACACACTAAGCAATACAAGTACATCTTCAGAAAATGTTGTTTCTGAATATATTTTTTACTTGGTTTCCAGATATTTCTATTCTTGCTCATATGGCACTTCTCAGAGATTTTATCCATGTTGTATAATACAAAACTTTTAGAAATCACTAACAAAAAACAATTATCTGAAAATCAAAGACCATACAGAATAAACAGTATTATAGTAGTATAAATGCAGAGTAAATAAAGCTTTAGAGGAAGTTTCTCACGACAACAAATACATTATTCCTTTGACTGATAAAATTTTGGAAGTAATTAGGAATTCTTAACTGTATGGTATTTGTAAAGCAAATACAATAATACAGAATAGTGTGAATTTAAAACCATGAAGATTTCTACTTTATGACTCAATAGAACTTAACACTGTTTTAAAAGTTTTTAAGGATTATTATATAACTGGATTTGAAAAAAGTATTAAATCAGCATCTAGATTACCAGAGTTTAAAATAAAACAATTATTAAAGAAAAGAAATATTTAATTATGAAGGCAGTGATCAAATGAAAGGGGAGCCCAAAGATAAGTTTATGAACATAATTGATGGACACTGCCCTTGTGAGTTTGGAAGACTTTGCAGACTATGAAATTTATGATATTTTTGGATTCTAAAGAAAATGTTGCCACAGTGCCCATTACTGATGTCTGAATAAAGATGAAAATATAATATTAGTAAATCAAAAAAATGCTAGTTTAATAAAAAAAATTGCAACAAACTTCAATTATTTTTACAGAACAGTTCTTTTCCAGACACAGACAAGATTTATGCAAAGAATTAAACTTTTTTAAAAAATTGGAACAAAAAAAAAAAAAAATTATCATCTGAACAAACTAGATAGCATCTATCTAGTTTGTTCAGATACATCTACAAATAATTTATTACTAGGAATAATGCTAGCATCTCCAATTTCATAGGCTTCAACAAAATATTAAATTTAATTTTTGCCTATAAAAACTGCAAAGAAATTATGTGCAATCCATGAGCCAGCAGCATTTGGCATAATGCACCATATACAGTGGAACCTCGGTATACGTCTGCTTTAGAATACGTCCAATTCGGAATACGTCCTGTTTGGACGAAACAAATTTTGCTCGGTATACAACTTTTGTTCGGTATACGACTTAATTCAATTATACGCGCCATCTATGAACAAGTAGCACTATCGGTGTATTATACCAGACTAGACGTTTGCGGTGCCACAATTTATAACTTTCTTAAATTTCTTCTGATTTTAATTTGTAAGTAAAATGTTATTATTTTTATTAATCATGAATTTCAAAAAGGCAACAGAAAAAAAATGAATAAAATCACAATGGAACTGAAAAAAAGAGATTGTTGAGAAATATGAAGGTGGCACGCGTGTTCAAAATCTAACTGTTGCATATCGTATTCCGAGAACGACGATATCGACAGTCGTGAAAAATAAAGACATTATTAAATTTGCTAACATTGCGAAAGGGGTTAAATCAATTTCTAAACATAGATCGAAGACATTAAATGGTGTCGAGAAATTGCTTTTGCTTTGGATAACTGAAAAACAGTGTGCTGGTGACAGCGTATCAAAAGCAATTATTTGCGAGAAAGCGAAAAAGATACACACTGATCTCGTGAAAAATCAAGCAGGAACTAGCCAGGAAAGCGAAGTGTTTAAAGCCAGCCACTTTTTTTTTAATTGAGAATGAATTAATCATTTTTACATTACTTTTTATGGGAAAGGTTGGTTTGGTATACGTCCTATTCGGTATAAGTCCAAACACCAGGAACAGATTAAGGTCGTATACCAAGGTTCCACTGTATTATCAATAAAAAACAAAATTATGTAATGAAATAAACTTTTTACTAGATTTTTCAGAGCAAAGAATTGTATTAAAACTAATGCTTTTTATTCCAGAACACAATGTCAAATAGCCCTTGTCTTATTTTTGCAAATTTATTCAAAATTAAAAATTTAATTTAAACTTTTGTAATATTGTTATTTACTTTCCCTGTGAACCTTGTAAATTCCTTTTTGTCCCAGGCCAAGCAATAACTCCAGCCAGCCTGTACTAAGCACTGCACTACCATATAATATTTAACAGGCTACTGAGGTCTTATTACAAGTCTTCTAAACAGCAAAAGACTGGGCATTGGAAGCTACCGATAATTCTCAAACAGTTGCAGGTTGTCAATCTATCTTTAGTAGTCTAATCTTGGCATAACAATCCTTGACATAAACAATACTAGCTGGATATTCAGATAGCCTAAAGGCATCGCCTACTATTCTAGGAAATCCGATTCATGTCTGCTTGAATAAGCAAAGCTCACTTAGTGCTCACAGAGCAGAAAGAAAAAGCTTACAAATATGAAACACTTATAACTTTAATTATTAACTAAATAATAATAATTAAAAAATTTATTTAAAGAATAAATCAAACAGTAACACACAAGAAAATGCAGTTATTTAAAGTAATAGGGTGTAAATTAATAATATTAGTAAAATATTTTAAAAGCTTAGGCAAATGGTGATTAATATGTAAGGTTGCCGATGGGGGGTGTCTATCAGGATAGTCACGACTATTGTGTGGGAGCAGGAAAACTCTCAAAGTCAGGCTTTCCATCATTAACCCGTTTAATAAATATAAAACTCTCTCTTATAACAATTCTCATAATAAGGCGTAACAACCCTCAAGGAGTAGGAAACAAGTCTGCACAAAAAGTCCAAATGTTCTGTCTATCGTTTCTCTCCTTCCTGCGATGACGACATGAAAAGCAATGGCCCCTGGGCACACAGCACGGAATCAAGCAAGATCTTCCGGTGAATAAGTGGACCTGGGTGAATCAGGACAACATGGGAGAGCAAAGGTAAATCCCAGGATGTCGAAAAATCTTTCGTTGACGAACTGCAGGAACACCAAATTCCTGGAGGGGCACATTATGAACCAAGAATGTCACGTCACATCCTTGAATTGTACATTTTTATACCTTTCACCTCCGATTGGTCTCCCCTTGTCACCTGGTGACAATTCAAAACCTTGCGGAGGGAACTAGAGAGGTCAACTTTATGACTAAACATGATTATTCTAACTACATTTTCCTTGACTCTGGTCTTTTCCACACAATTTCTTGTTTGTTTTAAATTTTATATAAAAAACCTTCTTTGTTCAAACAAGACCTTTAATTAATTAAATTGCCTCAATGTCCTTTTTTCCTTATTAATATGTAAATTTTCGACTATAAATTCGACTATCTTCTATTATCAGGACTTATTATACTGGTTTTACAGATAATATTACAAAGATTAACAGAAAACAATTTTTATTTTATTTCGTATACCAGGTATACGAAATAAAATAAAAATTGTTTTCTGTTAATCTTTGTAATATTATCTGTAAAACCAGTATAATAAGTCCTGATAATAGAAGATAGTCGAATTTATAGTCGAAAATTTACATATTAATAAGACCTTTAATTCTTCTTTTGTTCATTTCTGAAAAAGGAGAACTTTAATTTTTTGTCTGATTGTCAACATTCAGACCGCAAAATTGACTTCCGTCCGGGACCTCACAAATTCAACCAAATCAACCGCTCAGAAAATACAGTATTCTATGAAATGAAGGTTGAACTTTGACATTTTATACAGCATGAATTGTAATCAAATATTTTATATGGAGTTTTTGGATTTTTCTGATAGTATACATACATGACACCCCTTTCAAGTATACTGTACCATTTATTGTGTTTCTGCAGAGTTTACTTCTATTCTAATATTGAGGAGAGTTTACTTCTAAAAATTGTGAAGGGACTCAGTAAATAAATCTACATTGGTCTCATTGAATGATTA